ACTATTATGGTCCCAGATTCGTTGTAATTGACTTGTTGTAGAGGGTAGCCCAAGAAAGGGTTCATAATGACATTGGTATAGAGTAGCTTGGGGGTTTGGGGCTTAATCAGCTTAATGCCTATTGTCCTGGATAAACACCTTGAGAGCTTTTCTGCTTTGAACGCTTCTTTGTCACGTGTCGTTGAAACAAGACTAGGCCTACACCCTAAACCCTAAACCCTGAACCCTGAACCCTAAACCCTAAACCCTAAACGCGGTCTAGGGTTTAGGGTTTAGGGTGATGTTTCTTGCAGGGGTTTCTGCTTGATGCATAAAGCACAACGGAGGCCTTTATCAGGCAAAGTTGACGGAGACCATCATGGGGAACATGTAGGTAGCAGAGAAAGAGACAGGCCGTCTGCCCTAAACCCTAAACCCTAAAAGCCTAAAACCCTAAACCCTAAACCCTAAAACCCTAAAACCCTAAACCCTGAACCCCAAAACCTTAAACCCAAAAACCCAACAACCCTAAACCCTAAACCCTAAAACTCTAAACCCTAAACCCTAAACCCTAGACCCCTCTAAAGCACTAAGCCAAAGCAGCACCGACCAGGGCTGAGGACTCCCTGGGACGGAGACTGGTCGCTTTAAAGGGTCGTGTGAAAGATTAAGGTGACCTTCCACAAAGTGGGTTGCTGTTGAGGAACTAATTTCGGTTACTATATAGGGGAAACCATATTAATTACTTTATATACCCACTAGGGTAACACAATTTAAGTTCCTTAACAGCAACCCAGCCAATCAACGATGCGCTTGGAAAGACTTCATCGCCTGCCAATCACTGCCTTCCGCGGCCAATCCTGTCCAGGCCGCGTTGGATGCCGTTCCCAGCGACGAGCCACTGCATCGGGTCCGCTACTCAGCAGATGGGGTCTGGGGCTTAGGTTGAGGGATGCGGGTTTAGGGCTTACTTGGACATGTAACCCCAGCATAGACATGGTTCAGGACTCGGGGGGATGACAACTACATAGCTGACATATAAATTACATCTATACGTATTCGTACCCTGAACCTCCAAGTAAGGTTGAGGGATTCGGGTTTAGGGCTTAGAGACTAGAGACTAGGGAGATGGTGTTGGGTTTGTAAGTCGATTTTCCATATTTGGGAAACACCGTAATGATGGTAATCTGTTTGAGACCCGTATTATAGTTTGCCGATATTCCTTAGGCTTACCAAGTCACCATTCAGGGCGGACATACGGGTGTCCGCAATCTCTATCATAATAGGAACCCATGTCCATTAGCGTCATCGGGGAAAAATGATAGTACCTCACATGATCCCAACCCCCTAAACCCTAAACCCAGCCATATAACAAGAGCCGCACCTTTCTGACACGCGCTACTGCGCCAGCGGACAGGTCTTGGTGAGATGTGGAACTCACGAGATACCAGCCACTCTGTCTGGGGCCTAGTCAACTTTTTAAGGGTTTAGTGTTTAGGCATTGGTAAGAATAGCAGTAGTCATAGCACTAATAGTAGTAGTAGGAGTAGTAGTAATAATATTTTCAGATACTAATGCATGCTACTGCAGGATTCTCTTTAATTCCCTTTCTAATTCTTTCGCACATCACCTTTCTGGTGGTCCAAAAGGAATCCTTGATACCCCTAACGTTTTACCGGAAACATTCAGTGAGCGGTGTGCTGCGCAAAAGAGGGGTTCCAAAGCCTCTGTGACTAAAAAGAGACAACTAGCAGAGACAACTTCGGCACTGCAGTCGTCAAGGGCTAGCAATCCAATCAGGTCTGATGGCTCTGTGCCTGACCCCTAAACCCGCAGGCTTTGAGGTTGCTTTTGGGGTCCATGTCAGGGTGCGGAATGCGGATGCAAGCACTCATAGGGACCCGCAGACGTGAAAGTCCTCTGGCAAAAAACCTTAAACCCCAAGCCCTAAACCCGCCTTTCATCGTAGAAACTAATTACCCCTAAACAATCAACCCTTCAACCCTAAACCAGGCATCCCATGGCCCTACAGCGATCTGCAGGTGCATTGAGCGGCCGGTCTTGCTGGAGGGGGAAGGTCGGTGGGAGACCACCCTCAGGAGCTGTTGCGGCCGCTTGCTGCGGTTTAGGCTTCAAAGGGGTTTCCCAAAATTAGGGGGTACCCTTTTGAGGTTTATAAGAAGGATCATGGAATTTTGCTGCTGTCTTCTACGGTGTAGGCTTCAAGGATCTTCAAGGCTTATTATGGAAACTTACTGCTGCCTGCGCACAGCAGTTAAGGGCAACAAGAATGGTATCTGAATTTTGGAAGCTTTCCATGGGCCCAAATGTTTTTTTTTTTTAACTCACTTAGATTCCTGCGGTTGGGAGGGCTTCGTACTCCAGATTCAGGCCTCTGTAGGACTATAAGCCCTGCAGTAGCCCCATATAGTCCCCGCTGCAGCCCCTGGAAAAGCCTTACAACCCGCTACCCTACGCCATACATGATGTTGGAATGCCGCACCTCAAGCTTCGTTCATGATGTCATGACAGCTCGCGCGCTCGTCCTGAAATTGCCTTGAGAGCGTCCCCATCTAATGTAGAGACGTGTACCATCACAAATACTGGAGCAATGGTCATTGATCATGGTACTCGAAAGGTTGTTCTACTCTCCGGGCTACTTCAACGTGGACGCGCATACTAAGAGGTCACGGCGAAACTCCACGGTTCCCAGATCCTTTGTGAAATCCAGCCGATGGTCACTAAGCAACAAGCCGTTGACGCCATCATACCTCTCCATCTCCAATGTGATTGCGATGTCCTTCCTTATTGGCGCCCCGGTCCAAGTCATTTTTCTCAAAACCCCTACATGACTACAGCATACCACTCCCAAATCCCTAGTTTAGTTTCTGTTGGGCGCCCCAAACCCTAAACCTTAAACCGCTGTTACTGCCCAGCCATGGCGAAGAGCTCCAGGAAGGGCTTCTGCTTCTGGGTTGCTGTTAAGGAACTTAAATTAAGTCAGGGTTTAGGGTTTAGGGTTTAGGGTTTAGGGTTTAGGGTTTTGTGTTTAGGGTTTATAGGGATTATTTCCTTATAATGGAGAATCAAATGGAAAAGAAAATGGAAAATGAAATGGAAACTGGGGGAATATAGGGATTTAAGGAACTTAAATGAAGTCTGAAGTTACTATATTGGGGAAACCCTATTATTTACTGTATATACCCATTATGGTAACTTAATTTAAGTTCCTTAACAGCAACCCAGGCTTGTGTGTGGGCCTGCTGGCGCTTTTGCCATGGCATTGGGACCTGCTCTTCAGTATGCCTGCTCCGCGTAAGGAGAGATAAGCCAACCTACTGTCCTGCTCAGGGTCCCTTTAAGCGAGTTTATGGGTATATAGGGTCATACAGCGACATGTTGGGTTCAGGACTTAGAGTTGATACTTGAAATCTTGCATGATGTTGTTAGACTCTACAATTCTTTAGTGCCAAGGTATACGGTACCTAGGGTCATGCAGGATTTTGGGGTGTCAACGGTAGGTGCTGCTTTTGGCCATGTGTGGAGGGAAGCCATAGTCAACTCTTAATTAGCTCTAGATCCCAAACCCTAAACCCTAAATCCTAACCCCTAGACCCTAAACCCTCATTTTGTTTTTACCCTTGGCAGGAACTGCTTGGAAAAGACCTCGTTCAGGGACTTCCTGGTGCTAGAGCTGCTAGAGGGAGAGCGGGGCGGGGAGTGGATGCCCCTATGTAGAGGGTTTAGGGTGTAGGGTCTAGGGTATGTAGAGCAATCCCGGGACTATATCAACGCCTCCCCCACCCGGTATAGTAATCACCGTAGTATTCTATGTTGATATAAGTACCTTGTATCCCATAGTAATGCCCTATGTAATCCCCCAAGTAGTGTTAGCACCACTCCAACATTTCCTTTGGCACCGAGAAGAGGAGCGGGGCTTGGGGCAGCAGCTGCTAGACATGGCCCTGGAGTCGCCTTTGTACAAACTGCTGCTGGTTCCGCAGGCAAGTCAGTGGGTTAAACCCTAAACCCTAAATAGTAGTTTCCATTTTCTTTTCCATTATAACCCTAGTATCCCCCTTAATAACCCCTATAATACCCCCCTATAGTATCCGCAAGTCAGTGGGTTCGGAGCAATTGCTGAAGGCCTTACTCCCTAGTGCTCAGGAGGGAATGGGGGAATGGATCCCTATAGTAGTCCCTATATAGTCCTTAATAAGAGTCCCTATAATCCATTCCCCCATTCCCTCCTAAGCACCAGGGAGCTTAGGGCATTAGGGTTTAGAGTGGAGGCAGCCTGACTGTAACTGGAGGGCATTGCTAAACCCCATGTCTGGGCTGTGACGCTGTTGTTGGGGTCAAAAACCAAGCCCTGAGAGGCCCTAAACCCAAAACCCAATAGATCTTAAACCCTAACCCCTAAGACCCTAAGACCCCTAGGCCCTTAGACCCTAAAGCCTAACCGTCCTAAACAAATCACTGAGTCCCTGCTGAGTCCCTGAACCCTAGCAGAGCTTAAAACACGTTCAATATCCAGGCAAAGCCCTTGGCACTAAATCTTCACCTTTACCACCATTACCCCATAACCCCAAACCCTAAACCCTATACCCCTAAACCCGAAACCC